AAATCTATAGTTCCATTTGAGTCTTTCCTTCTTTTTTTAAAAAAATAAAAAATAAAAAAATTTAAGAGTCATAACCATGAAATTAACATGTCCAACAGGCCACAAATAATCTCCGATAATTCAGAAGCAAAAGCAAAGGCGTGATTGGCTTCTCTAGAATCAGCTTTTGTGAGTTAAGCATAGTAGCTGTCTCTAGTAATTTCATGAAAGCTCCGTTTTGAAATTAAGTGTTTACACCAAACAGTCCCAAAAATAACTTTATTCTAATATAGCTAAAGCTCCTAATGGCTTTGAATAAGCTCCAAGAACAAACACCAACCCATGGTATATGGTCGCACGTCCAAACGCTGTCTGTGATCGATTGAAAGGTAGTAGAAATGGTAGGGTTGTAATTTTAGAGAACTAAGTAATAGTGTGTCTAAATTGTCATATAAAAAAAATTCATATACATTAAACAACTTTCAACAGATGTGAGTGAATCACACTTTTTGGTTAAGTTTTGACACAAATTTAATTGGTGCATTCAATTCAGCAACTGCCCGGGAACGTTTATTCCGCTGTAGCGTTGCATTTCGCGAATATTATGGGGTAATTCACACTCGAATTTACACTTTTGGTTTATATTTGATACATAAATTGCAGAGCTGTGCACTTAATTCATCAAGTAACGTGTAAGGAGACTGAACTTATGTGGTGGATTTTGTTCAAAGTTACTCATCCGAGTAAATAACTCCACGAGCCCGAACCTCGTAAAATCTCAAAACAGGAAGTAGAAAAGTGAAATTTTCCACATAATAACCTCACATGAAAAAGGAGAGGCAAAATAAATATCTGATTGGTAAGGATTGTTAGGTGCAAGCAAAAATGATTGAATTTGGGAAGAGTAACAGGTTACAGCTAAAAAAGGAGATTCCGTTGCCGGGACTTGAACCCGGCGTCTCTCGGGTGAGAGCCGAGTATTCCTAACCAACTAGGACTACAACGGACTTGTAAACAAACATAAAATTTATATATATATATAAATATTAAATTTAGTGATAGATTTTGATTTTGCCAGCTGTCACTGGCGCTAGTGCACGAGATGCCACATTTTTACCATCCAAATTTTAATTTTATTTTTGTTTTTGTAAAAAAATAACAAATTATTCTTTGTTAAGCTTTTTAATTTTCGTGATTTATTATTTTGTGAATTTTTCATATTTATTAATAATTTTTTACAAATAAATTTATAATAAATGTACTTAAACAGTAAAATATTTTAATTTAATTTTTCGTAGTTTATATTTTACAATTTTTAATAGAGTTTTTGTTCATAAATCCGTCTTCTCTTACTTATGTTTTCACTTAATTTAAATTTATTTTTTTTATGTTCTAATAAAATTTATGAGTGATTAGTTACCAAAATGAAAAAATATTATAGATCCAAAATTTTATGTGGGTCTCACACCTATGTGAGAGGTTTAGTAAAAAATTTTAATTAGATTATTTGAGATCTCTAACATTATTCTACCAAAATATCCCTAAAATTAATAGAATAAAGCGTGCATTAATAATTCACATTGACCAATTGCCATTAATTATTTCTCTTATATGTTAAATTATATAAACGTATTAATATAATATTGACACATAGAAAATAATCGATAAGATAGCAAGGACGATATATTAATTAATTTATGTGTGTGATGTCCAAAAAAGCTATGTGTTGCCATGAACATATTTTGCAGATTGCATTGACTTTACATAATCCATTATGCAAGACGATGATGCGTTGTGTTCTTCTTAACAATTTGATGATTTTAGACAGGCTATTGAACACATGGTTGCATTGCAGATGTTCACCAACGGAAATGAGCAGAGCATTCCGAAGGTTCTTTTACAGGATGTGGCCGACTAGAAGCATTTAAGGCCTATGCTTGAATTCATGTACTTATGGAGAACTCTACAAGGAAGACACATGGATATTGATACCTTCTACTCCAGTTTCTTCTATTGGCAGATCAATTGGGGTTACTCCCTTCATCAGGATGCTGCAAAACACTTTTGGAATTGCCTAGTCAGAGGTATTTTGTAATCCTTTCTTCAGCCACAAAAATATTAATTGCTCAATTTAGTCATCACTAATCTTTGTGTTTACCATATGCTAAAGTGCTTTTTTTTTTTTTGATCGAATGAAGTGCTGTTTGTAGGGACTAAAAATAAAAGAAAGGAGAAGTGTGGTTGCGAACACCCTTTCTGTTGTCAAGTCAAGCTTCTCCCCTTCGTAACCCATAAAAGAAATTTAAAAAATAAATCCAAACAACATAGAGATAAAAACTGTATCGAATTTATTGAGTAACCCAAAAACTGAATAAATAGGTTAGATTTAAGACCTTCTTTTTTGTCTAAACCCTTTGACCACAAGTCTTGCCTTGCTATTTGTCAATTGATCCATCCGCTTCTCCAATTTCTTTCTTGAAAATATCACCACCTAAGTTAGATTATTATTATTATTTTTTATGAGAAATATAGACAAACAAAAATAAAAATTAATTGAAAAAGCTATTTCACAGCTTATTTAACAAACACTACTCAGCAACTTAAATCTATAATCCAACAGCTACACCAAACAGGTTAACAACTTCTGATTAAAATCATAATCTATAATCTGTTAAGTTATAATCTATAAGCTGTTTTACCAGTTACACCAAACGGGGCCCATAGCAACGATAACGAAGTCAGGCAGCAGTGACGATGAGACCAGCAACGGCGATGGTGACAACAAATGATCCAAACCAGACCCATATATCTCATCCTCACCTCACCTCACCTCACCACACCACACCACACAAACACTCCTAAACTCTCTCATCTTCTTGTGTTCCTCTTCATTTTCTCTCTCTACAAGCCTTTTTGTTTCTCCCACGTAGTACTTGCAAAAAGAATAAGATACATAGATAGAGGGTGATGCTATGGTACATTTGGATGTACCATATATTAGTTATGACGTTATGTGATTTTATATTATAACTAATATCAAATAGATCATAACCATTATCATATTAACTCATAACTTAATTATATTTAGTTATTCATACATACCATATTATCTCATAACTACCACATAACTAAATTATTTTAATAATTTAATTTTGAATTGGCTACCAGTGTAACCGGTTACCAAAAAGAGGGCAAAGAAAATTAGAGGAGTCCAAGGGTCCCAATATTATATATCTCATAACCACTAGTCACATATCTCATAACCAACATCATATATCTCATAACCAATACCTTTTTTTTCATAACCAACATCACATATCTCATAACCACTAGTCACATATCTCATAACTAATACCATTTTGCTCATAACCACACCACTTTGTTCATAACCAATATCACATGTCTCATAACCATTGATCACATATCTCATAATTATTATCCACATGAATCATAACCACATCTCATAATCAACCCCTTTGAGTCATAACCAACATCACATATCTCATAACCACTAGTCACAGAGGTGTGCCGACCAGGGCGGCGTGGAGTTCAAAAAGGTGCTGATGTGAAAATGGAAAAGACAGGGTAAGGGGAGGGGACAGTGCATCGTGGCCACACACGTGGCAGTGTCGTGGGGGAAGATGAAGCGTTGGGGCAGGAAATGAAGCGATAGGTCACGGGGGGTTTTGAAAAGGCGGTTTTGGCGGTTGATTTGAAAGG